TTCGCTCAAACCAATCATGGTTTCTGTAATTTGAGAAAACATTTGGAACACCTTCTGAAAAGTTCATCTTTTTGATCGATTAACTGACAAAAACTTTGAGGAAAGTTAATGCAGCCAGCCAACATGTCTTATAGGAAATTTGCCATTTACCAATGGTCAAATGAGTTGTTTAAGAGATATGGTTTCCAGATTGGTCATTTTGGCAACTCAACACGCATATCTTGCTTAAATGAAGTACTTTTGACCATGTTCCACAATAGTGGTAGGACTTTAGAACATGCATTGAGTTATCTTCTGGGTGGTGAATCGTGGAATCACTGGCAATGTTTGACGAAAACTCCTGCTAATAAATTCATTGCACACCAAATGGTTATGATTGCTCGTAGATCTTTTTAAGGTTCTGTCTAAGTCTCAAAGATATTTTATAATGTCCATCGTGCATTCATCTCCAAATAATTGAATTTACATTTATGCAAGACTTTGCCATTGCATGAAGTCTTTCGAAAATGTTGCCAGGTCGGAGTTTCATTGCTTTGCATAATTTAATGGCAATTTTAATGCTGATGGGATGTTCGACCACCTTCAAGCAAAGTTGCTGCGATTCAACGAAGCCGAGTCAAGTGCAATTTTTATTTTGTGAGCGAATCGTTGCTAATATTATGATATCAAACGTTTTCCCTGTACAACGAGGTGCATCTAAGAAATAAATCCCGCCAGTTCATCATTTGTTTACTTTTGCATAAAGAGTATTCAAATCATACTTCTGTGGTTCCATTCCAGTGGAAGATTTGTTTGATATTATTCTTTCAGTGTCAAATCTGCTGTACCATAATGACGAACATACGACATGGTATCTTGAGCATATTCGTGCATATGTCGAGGGCTTCCGATGTATGTTGCGGGAAGAAAAGTCATCCAACCAACATTCTGTGCATTTCCATCAGTAATAATCGCATCTCGAAGGTGAATATACTCTTCAGATCGGAGTTTGGTCTGATTCAAAGTGATGAATGTTAATCTCTCTGTTTCAATTTTAACATACTTGTCAACAATATATTTGTGATATAATCGCCGACATTTCAACATGTGATTGTTTTCATTTTTCCGAATCATTAGACGGTATGAATAATAGTTCATTGAACTGACTTTTTTGTTTGTTTCAGAACTTGTAAATAAATTTTGTTTTAATAACATTGTACTATAAAATTAAAATACATAATATAGTGACTGAGATATTATCGCCATAGCTAAATTAATATTTTTATTACCTGTCATTTTATCATTTTTATTGAGAAATTATAGCCATCTTCCCCTTGCCAAAATATAATGGTATATTGCAGTGCATCATATGAACGGTGTGTTTCCTTTATACGTTGTAATTGATCATTCCGACGATGTAAAACAATATCACGGGATTCCAAGGTTTCTCCAACTACAACGATAGCAACTTCATCATTAGTTGGTGCATTAAAACGTCTTGCATGTTGACCCGCAGGTTTTTTATCAGCGCTGATTACAATTTTGTGATTATCTGATGGCATCAGATCCAGGGCAGTTTTAAACAATTTAACAAATTGATTGTGTTCATGAAATAAAGTTTGTAATTGTTCTACAATAGACCTTTTTAATAAATTGTTATTTGCACAACGCAGATTCTTTTCTTGTGGTGAATTGCCCATAAAATAAATTTGCATAAATCTATCATGAAATAATTATATAGGGTTTCAAAATTATAAAAGTGTCGCTAAAACTGAATCACAAAAAAATATGATGACTAAGTGATGATTATGATCTTAATGATTAAGAAATTGAAGATTAGTGACACATATTAACTTAGGTTACATAACATAAAATAATTATGATTAACTGCTCTAATACATACCTTGAAAATTGGCATAAAATTTTCCTGAACTACATTTGTTGACCCAAATGAAGTCATTGTTATGTTGTTGGATATTTGTCAAAAAGTGTTTGGAATCTGTTCCTATTTTTGAAGCCAATGAGTACAATGGCTCTGGTGGTGGTTCCAATGGTATCAATTTCACTTTTCCATATGCGCAACACAATCCATTAGCTTCGTTTTTATATTTCAATGCTTTACAATAGGAGCAAACAGAGTCCATAGAACCAATAACAACACATTGGTAGTTACTGTAGCCAATTGACACATCGTAACTGAAAGCAGCTCGATCAAACGTGCGCGATTATTAGTTGAATTCAGCGCTCGCGCTTCATGCATTTGTGATATCTGAATTCTTTCACATTCATTTCGGTCGTCACGTTCTTGTGCAGCATGATTAGATCGGTAATTAGCTTGGTTTTTGGTATTTCGGGTTCTTCTACCAAAATTGCTTCGTCTAATAGGAGGCATATCTATATTAATAGTTTCGAAACACGACATTAAATCCTCCAACGATGTATTCTGTGCTCCAACGCACACACGCACACTGTTTTGATAGATATGATTGAATTTGAACTTTGTATTACGGTAATAAAGTGCATATTGACTCTTTGACGTTAAGAACATACCTACATTGTTTTAACAACAATACAATAGCTATAAATTATAAAACATTACAATAGCTATAAATCTAAAATTGACTCGACGTTGTACTTAGAAAACGTTTGTATGGAAAAAAAGAGCTGTTTTTAGGGTTTTTCTGGCAATTATTCGAATTTTTCTCGACGGAAAAACCATCCTTGAACTTCAACAAACATTTAAAAATAAGAATTGGCAAAATTGGTCTAGGCGTTGTTGAGTTATGCGCTTACCAAGACATTTTGCGATTCATTTTTATATTATAGAAGATTGTGGGCTCTACACCAGACATAGTACACGTGGATCAACTTGCTATAGTTATTAAACATGTGGGGAAAATGGTACACCAAAAGAGTCATTTTTGGAATTCCTACCAAACACAAAGGATGCTGATCGACGCTTTATGTGATTGTATGGAGATTAACGAACGGGACATTTATAATTGTCGTGGTCAGTCCTACAACAACGCGTCAAATATGTCCGGTATTTTTACAGGTCTTCAAGCCCGTATGAAAGACGTAAATGCTCTAATTAAATTCATTCCCTATTCTGCTCATTCTTTAAATTTAGTTGGTACAAATGCAGCTGAATCATGCACTGAAGAATGTATATATTTTCTACTTCTTCAAAATTTATATAATTTCTTTAGTGCATCTACATCAAGGTGGGACATACTTCAAAATTTAGTAGATGAAGGATTCAGTGCATCCTCTTTGAAAAGTCTTTCAATTATGCGCTGGTCAGCTCGAGATGATGCATGTCAGGCTCTAAAACATCGTTAGCAAAATGTTTTAGATGCCTTTCAAAATATATCTGATGATTCTACGCAAAAACCGTCAACGCGTACAGAAGCTAAAGGTCTTATTGTTGCTTTAAAACGACTTGAAACTGCTATTATGACCGAGGCAGAGAGTATATATAGAGGACCGAGGTTTGGGGATTCATTTTAGACCGCTTGAATGCGTCGAACAAACAACTGCAAAAATTCGATATCGATTTAAGTTCCGTGGTTGGTATTTACACTTCGCTTGTAGAACTTTTAAAAATGAACAGAGATAATTTTGAATTTTTTGAAGAGAAGGGTAAGAAGCAGTCAAATACTGAAACGTACGAATCGGAAAACAAAAGAAAAAGGAAACGTAAAATACAATGCGATGAAATTAACGAGAATGCAGCAGAACTGACCGCAAGAGACAAGTTTAAAATCGCCACTTATTTGGATATTGTTGATAAATTACTTGCAGAATTGAATAAGAGACTTGAAGCGTATAAAGATGTATATGACAAATTTAAGGCTGTCATTGAAATAGAAAAATTATCTTTGATAGATTTGGAAAAAGCAGCGATACTTTTGTTCACAATTTCCCCAAGATCTTGAAGAATCGCTTGTTTCTGAACTTATACATTTAAGTTCGTATTTGAAAATCCTTCAAGATGTTAACCCAACGAATCCTGCAGCTTTATTAAAGTGGTTACGGAAAGAATTAGAATGAATTTATCCTAACGTTGACATTGCACTTCAAACCTTTTTATGTATTCCGGTGGCAAATTGCACACGGGAACGTTCATTCTCTTGTTAAAAAAGGATTAAAAATTATTTGCGTTCTACAACGACAGAGTATCGCTTTAACTCCTTAGCGTTTTTGTGTATCGAAGAAAATTATCTTAGCGTTTTGGATTATACTATAATTATTGATGAATTTGCTCACCAAAAGGCACGTCGCAAAATTTTACATCAATAGACAAATTAGGCTTAATTAATACAATGTTATTTTCAACTGTTATAAAAACCCCATCAAAAAGTTAAATTGCTATACTTTCTTGTTTATAATGGGTAATAGAAAATATAAAAACTGCTTACAACGTCGTATATTCTAATCGTTCAGTTGTTGTAAATAAAATCTATCATATTATATATAATACAAGCTATTACTTTGGTCTACCTCATTAGAGTATATCGCGGGGGCGGACCGAAGTTTGCCGAACACGCCGCGCTGTTGCACGGCGGCCAGCTCGCCTGCCAAGCCAAGCCGGTGGACATCGGAAGCTTCAAGGTAGCGTACTCGTGCACGAAATTATTAAAAGGCCTGCGCCTTGCGTATTGTAAAGATTTATTATATAGTGTTTCATAATTAAACTTTCAATGCAAAAAGAGTTCCCATCCGATTATTCTTCTAAATAGCGAGCGTCAATTCCCCTGGAAGCCCATTCACCGAGAATGTACCCGTCGCTTTTATATTCTTTTTACTTTGTTTCGTGAGAGTACCGTTTCCCGGTACGTACAATATATATATAATAATATATATATATATATATATATATATATATATATAATATATATATATATATATATATTTCGAGCTTTGATTTGTTTTTTGGTACTTTCCTCCTGGGATACTTTATTGACTTGGCTTGCTTCGATTGGAACTGTGATTTTTTTTTCTGAACTTTCTTGTGAACGATGTCTATTCGAGATATAGAAAGTGTGGAAGAAGTTGTGTTCATGGACGAAATCTTCGATTGTGAACAACCGAGGAAGAAGAAGAAGAGTTACCGGGCACGTGTGAGTCTTTTGGAGATGTATTATGATGCAGAATTCCGCAGGAAATACAGATTTTCTAAAGAAGGAACAATAAAATTAATAGACTTGTTCGGGGCACAGTTAAAATGTGACGGAAGGGGAGGGAAACTTTCTCCAGATCTTCAAATTTTAACTGCTCTTCGCTGCTGGGGAAGAAATGAAGTTCAAGGCGATTCCGCTGACTTGCATGGGATAAGTCAACAATCTATTACTAATGTGTGCCGTAGAGTGGCACTGTCCATTGTCGAAAAGAGGCAGATGTATATACGAATGCCTGAAAATTTAGACGAAGAGGTGCAGAAAATCAACATGTTTTCTGATATTTGTGAGTTCAAAAGTATGATCGGGTGCATTGATTGCACTCACATCCGCATCCCACATGTACCAGGCAATGAAGGGCACTATTATATTAATAGGAAGAATTTTCCATCATTAAATGTACAAGTTGTGTGTGATGCTTCATTGAAGATAATGGACATTGTGACAAGATGGTACGGGAGTGCACATGATTCCCGAATATTCAATGAATCTGCATTGAAATTGAATTTTGAAGGTGGACAATTTCATGGGAGGCTTTTGGGAGATTCTGGGTATGCGTGCACACCTTACTTATTCACCCCAGTGTTGAGGCCCAGGTCAAGAAAGGAGTTGCGCTACATTGCAAAGCATGTGCGCACAAGGAATTCTGTGGAGAGATGTTTTGGTGTGCTGAAAAGCCGATTTCGTTGTCTCCAAACAGGCTTCAGAAACTCCCTTGAAAATATAAAGCTATATATTGTGGCACTCGCAATATTGCACAATATAGCAATAATTTTCAATGAAGAGGAATTTCCTGTTGAAGAAGAAGTGGTTGAAGAACAGGAATTACAACCAATTCAAGCTGTAGGTCGAGGAGCAACAGTTCGGGCAACTTTTAAAGAGGAAAATTTTTAGAGAAGGATATCTGCTTATTAATTTAAGTGTAAAAGTGATGTGAGTGTAAATAAAAGTTTTACCTGAAATATGTCTGATAATAATAGTTTTGTTTCTAATTGCTTTGTGGTAGCAAAACAATACTTGTTCATATATCCCAAATAATATATTTGACTGAACTAAGAAAATTTCCCATTTTAAAATACTTCCATATTTCATGTAATTCTGCATAATGGGGATTAATAAGCATTTGCAGAAATAATATGAATTTGAACTTTTTGTTGGCATTCTATAGAGCATACCTTTTTTCAACCCCTGAGGGAAAAAAATATTAAAGAAGGTATAGTAGAAATGTTTCAAATACGAATACAGAAAATTGTTCAGAATTTTATTTGCAGACTCATATTTTCCTATCAATTTCATATAAAATATTTCACTTTTATACGAGTTAATTTCGATTTAAAGTGGTAAAAGGGAACCTGCTCAGCGCAGTGAAAACATCTAAATAATCACGCAGATTACATAAGTATGATGATTAAGACCGTGTATAAAAAGATATTTCAAAGTGCTTTTTGTTCTCACTTTCAAGTGCACATTCTATTATGTTATAATTTAATCAGGAAAATTTGATACTTTTTAGAAATGTAGTGTGATCAATTGTTGAATAAATACTATGGATTAAAATTTTGGATTCATTAGTTATTTATGAAAATTTAAATAGCTGAACTATTAGACTTAGGCTTCATGCTGACTATTTTGCGTTGCACAATTGACAAGTTTTTGCAAGAAATTGAGATTGAAGTTTATATCGAATGTGCTAAAATGACGTTCTCCCATGCTTTGACTTGTCATTCAGATCAAGGGATATAGTTCACAGGATTTGGTCGGAGTATAAATAATTAGTTTGCCAATGTTTCTGAATCTTTTAATTCCATCATCAGGGCTAGTGTACAAAAATCAACAAGGCATGAAGACATCAATATGATTTGAAAAAATATAAAAACATACACACCTTTCTAAATAATATGAAAATTTGAGTTATGGTGTATACATTTTTATATTTTTGCATGTATTGTATTTATTCATATTGATGTCTTCATGCCTTGTTTTTTAACACTGGCCCTGACAATTGAATTAAAAGATTCTGAAACGTCTGCAAACGAATTGTTTACACTCCAACCAAATCTCATGAACTACATTCATTATATCATGGTCGTGAATTCTACAATGGCAATTTCAGAAGTTGTTTTTAAATCTTATGCAAAAAAAATTGAAATTGCTCAGAACATGAAAATATCCATTTATAACGTCAAATTGTTCTGAGCCCACAATAGTCATTGTTTCTATTATTAATGAAGTCTAATATTGTTCAACATTCATTTTAATTTAATTTACTTATGTTATCCCCTCCTACATTACCTTCGAAAATGCCTCCTTTCATCGAAGACTACGTGCTGACATGAGAAATCAATTCTAAAATTAATAGACCACACTATCAAAAATCTTACCTTTTTAAAGTCATTCAGCTAACTCATTCTCAGAAGGCAATATGATAATAATTATGATCACAAGTTTGGAATTTAAGTTAAAATCTACTATAATCATTTTGGCCAGCTGTGCATCCCCCCAAAAAGAAATACCACAGAAATATTCTCAACTTTGTAATATGCTACTAAGTCTTTGCTTAATATTATGATTAATCAGTACTTATCACAAAGATTAGAGAATTTGTTATAGTGACTAAACCAAATTTTATGAAGCCCAAAGGAACAAATCAATTATTTAACTCTCCAACACAATGGTATAAAAAGCTAATTTAAAATTTTATATACAGGTTTACAACTTTTCTATAGAAAAATCTAGTTTCAATTTGTTTCACTTAAAAAAAAGTTAAATCAATTATTGAAAACTATTCCCCAAATTGGTACTACGTTCATTGCGAAACGAACAACATACATTACTTCAGCATAACCTAAATATATTGTTTTCTTTCTATTGCAACTTTTACTTAAGATGGAATCTAGGCTTTTGAAAGCGACTTATTTAAATACTCTAACTTCCTACAAGAATTTCAATTTACATATAGTTCACTTAATATTTGGTTCACTAGGCTGAAATGAAAGAAAAGATAATTCATTTGTGAAAAAATAATTTTATTACAATTTACTTCTACAATTGTTTATACAAAATTTCTTCTTGCAGACTCAATATGCTCATTATCTTATCATGCTGCTCTTTTGCTCACTGCACTCTTAACAAATGTTCTTTTTCCAATCTCTCATTTTCTTTAGCTCTGTATCGTTGCATTGATTCAAAACTTCTTTTCTTGAAATCAAATTCCCCCATCTTTCGATCTCTTCTTAATCTTGACGGAGAAGCAGCTCCAGCAACAGGCGTGGGCGTTGTTGTAGTAGTAGTAGTAGTAGTAGTAGTAGTAGTAGTAGTAGTAGTAGTAGTAGTAGCAGTAGTAGTAGTAGTAGTAGCAGCAGCTCCCGCATCACTGGAAGCAGTGAAACTAGCAGTTGAAGAGGGCATAGTAGTAGCGGTGAGTAGATCAGCATCACAAAACTCGCTCACAACACCAGCGGCAGCAGCAAGAGAAGTGCCTGAAGTGGAGACAATTGCAGCATCGCTCCTTTACAATGCGAAAATATTTATCGCTGGATGTAACACCGTATCCTTGATTTCTATTTGTGGTTCGTAAGATACCACAAAATTGTCAGAGTCGTATGGATTCTCTGGATATAAAAATCCTGTGGGATCCAGACTCACCATTTCCAGAGTCTCGTGTGAAGGACTTGTTGGCTTTGGTCCCCCGCCAGTCAGTCTAATATGTTTCTTGTATTCCCCCATTTCTTTCTTTGACTTTGTTTTCATGACTTTCCGTTAGTTATAATTTTTTTTCTAACATCTGCTTTATTTGCAATTTGTTCTACTCGAACATTCGGCAAATACAATTGTACATACATTATTGACATGTAAAGAAACCATCCAATTCTGGTTCTTTCTAAAAATGGTTTTAAACTAATTGTCCAATTCAGAGAGAAAAACAAAACAAACAAGAACAACAATAAACAACATCACATTGAAATAACAATAACACTTTATTGTTATAAATTTGTTTTAATTCCCTACTCCAAAAGTTTACATCATTAAATTTTGTCGTAATTTCTTGCCAAGATTGAGCTTTTTTTATTAATAAATGTATCATTGTTTTTCATATTCAATACATTTAAATGATTCTTCATTATTTCTCTCAGCAGTTGCTGGAAAGAAGAATAAAACAGGAAAAGTTAACACATTCAAACATCACACTTGCAAAAAACAATGCTAAATATCTATCAAAACAAAATTTTTCTTACGTTTTCTTCACTATCCCAGTTCACACTCCTCACGCGCTTTTCAGCCATTGCTTAGTAATTATAAAGAAAATGAAATTTAATATATACTAATAAAAAACTATTCAAACCCTGCTATAAACAATAACCAATCAATAACTCGTTAATACGAAAAGTAGGAAGACACGCGTCGCACACCACGAATTAACTCTCGGTAATTCGTAGTGAAATGGCGGATGTCGTCGCTCACTACTTCCACTACTTCCTAGCAGAGAATATGCAAAATCACCAAAGATGCTACAAGAAGCAACGTTGCCAAGCATTATTTTCGGTTTAGAAAAGTTTTAGTTATTCCACGGTTTAGGCGCCATTATTAGTAAAAACTTATTCCGTTCTTACACCATTCTTAAGCTAGAACTAACTAGTCCCAGAATAAGCGTGGTATACCCATGTTACACCACGCTTTTATTAGTAGGAAAGTCAAAGATTACGTTATAGTTAACGAGAAATTATCAACCCTAATTTAAGATATATGAGGTTAAAAAGGCAAAGATATACACTCAGATCACTACCCACGGAGATATACACTCAGATCAATTTTGTTGTCTCAGCTATTGAATTACTAAGTAGATGGAAAAATCTAAGCCACAAAAATAAAAACAATGAAAAAGAAGGGTTTAAAGTATATCTGCTACAAGAAGAAAGTATTAAAAAGCTATATCAACGGAGACTAGAACATTACTTAGAAAATACACCAACAAACGATAAAGTAGAGAGAATGGGCAAATATTAATACCTGCATAGAAAAAGCAGCTTTTGAAAGCCTAGGAAAGAAAAAGGAGTTCAGAAGAAAGAAAGGCACAAAAGAATAGCACATCAGGAGGCGTGGGATCTTTTCCTAAATAGAATAGAAAGTAATATTCATGGGAAGAAAGTACTAGCCTACAAAGTAATGAGAAAACTCAATCAAAGAGAAAGATACCGTTCAATTGAAAGTTATAGATGAAGAGAAATGGCTACAACACTATACGAATCTATGGTTCAACCCACTGGAAGAAAAGAAAGAACATGAAGAACAAAAGAAAGATAATAATGATCTACTACCAATAGAAGAATTAATACAAGTTTTAAAAGAAATGAAATATAGAAAAGCTACTGGTATAGATATTGTAAACGCAGAATTACTAAAATGTGGACGCTTTTTTCTCCATTTAAGACTGTTACATCGATATGTAATGTTGGCGACGAAGTATGATACCAGAAAAATGGCAGACAGTCCTAAAAATATCTGTGTTTAAAAAGAGGGATCGAAGTAACTGTGAATACTGGAGGTATTAGCCTCTTAAACACAACATATAAAATCTACAGTAGAATGATCCAAAAGAGGAGTAAGACGATAGCTGAAGTTATATTGTTAGAAGAACAAAATGGCTTCAGAGAGGGATGATCCTGCACAGATGTTTTTATATTGAACCATGTAATAGAGAAAAGAAGAGAGTTTAATTTAGACAAGCATATTGCATTCATTTGTTTGGAAAAGCCTTCGACCGAGTAAACAGGACCACAGAAGATCGAAGTGGCTTTCCAAAACATGTAATAAATGTAGCTAAAAGTTTATGTAAAAATACAAAAATATGAATGAAAATAAATTCACATCAATCACAACCATTAAAAACTATCCAA